AATCCCTACGGGCTGTACTCACGTCTTGGGGCCGAAGCAGTGGGCTGACGTGACGACCCACTGCCTGTCAATGATCGATCCCCCGCAGAAGTGAGAGAAGCCGCTGGGCTCGGCGAGCTGGACGCTGACCTGCCACGGCCACGCCCCCGGCGCCGCGTCCTTCCCCCCCACCACGCGGGAGCTCTGCGGGGCCTCCACCAGGGGCCTCAGGCCACACACTTAGAGAGAGCACAAACGGCTGTGAGGTATGTACAGGTATGTGCACAAAGCAGGAATCCCTAATACGTACTGTATATTACTTTACCTATCTCAGGGATTGTATGATATATTAGTATAGCATTTCAATACATATTCATCCATATATTCAATTCCTGGGGTGCTGTCTGTGTGGAGTTTGCATGTTCTATCCATGTTCATGTGGGTTTCCTTTGGGTGCTCCAGTTTCCTCCCACAGTCCTAAGACATGCTGGCAAGTTAACTGGATTCTGGGAAACATTGTCCCTGGTGTTTGTCCTGTGATGGAGTGGCGTGCTGTCCAGGGTTTTGTGTTCAAATTGATTAGGATACAAACATCGGATGTAAACGGTTTTCAAATCTTTTCCTGTATAGTTTGAGTTTGAGTTCATCACTGAAAGAGTGATTTTTTGTTCAGCAGAGCTGTATTAGATAAAAACAAGATAACCCTAACAGAACTTTGGAAGAATAGCACTACGTACATTCAGTAACACTTTACTATGATTCATTCATAAGGAAAGGGGGAGATCTGATGAATATCTGATGAATATACACACTTCACGGGAAACTGTTGAATGACGTCATAGGTAATTACATTAGACAGGGTTTCAAACTCATTTCCTGGAAGCCCTAGTATCTTCTGGGTTGTGTTCCAGCCCAAGCTGTCAATGAAACAATTAACCAAATGAATGTGTTATATACGGAATTTTTTCACGAAGTTTTTTCCGTTGATAGCTCAATACACTTTATCACTGGAAACCCCGGAGATGCCTTTGATTGGCTCTTTGGAGAGTAGATCGCTTTGATTGGCTGAGCAGCAAAAGGCGGGCTTTCACGCCGTGGCCTCGAGCTCTAACACCGGTGTCTTTTCTTAACTCGGGATTCGAAAAACGCGCCGGTTTGATTTACCTCGACGGTGTTCAAAAACAAATACATTTATGAAACGTTTCTAGCACGAAGTTGATCCTTAAGCTCTAAGAGAAAAATCTCTATTTTTTTTTCAAAAAAGAATTAGTGGTAAAATCGGCAATTCATGTGCTTTGAGGTGGGTCAAGTCGCCTCGGAAGGTGGTAGATAACGGTCACCGGGTCCTGAAAAGGGGGTTCGGAAGAAGATCAACTGTCGCGGGGGGGGGAATCTTACTGATATTTTCCTGTGCCCGAGTCCCTGTCGCCAGCAGGCAAACACCAGTGAAGAGAAAGATGAAGAGCCGAGCAGAAGCCATGGTTTTCTGAGCCGACTATCAGGTGAGAGATGCGGTCTCCTCCGATACTGACCCGGGCTCGAAGAACTCAGACTGTTTAACCCCGGGGGTTATGACGCGAGGAGGCGTGTACCCGCGCGACTGGAGGAAAGTTTTGATTTAAAAGCTCTTTTTGGTAAGTAGGGGTCAGCTGAGCTGGGTCAGCTGTCTGTCTGACAGCTCAGTACAGCGCCAAGAGCGGGGCTTCCTCCCAGCTGCGCTTCGCCGTCTCCTTCCCTGTGGGTTTGTGCGCCTGCCGGGTTAGTAATAAAGCACACAGACATGGCAAGGAGCAGCTAGCCTGTAATCCTGACCGGACGTTTTAAGCAGGAGAGAAAGAAAATCGACGTTCCACGAAAAAAGATCAATATAACGTAGGAAAAAACGAATGTGACGTAACCACTCGATGTAAGTCGTACCGCCATCTTGCCTGGAGTGGGGTCAATATAGTAATTATACACTAATAATATAGTGATTTTATTTTTGTGTGCATAAATGAAGTCCCGTCTTTATTACAAAAAAATATTTTTTTGGAAAGATGACACTTCAGGTCAGGTATGATCACAGAAAAAAATACATTCAATTAAAGTTTGCACAAGCAAGTTAATCAGTTTAAAGGCATCATTTATAGCCCTGGTGTTTAAGAGCTGAGCTGGAATTAAAACTGGCAGATTCTTGGGGGTCCCCCAGAACCAGAAACCGTGTGTTAGAACAATGACACTAGTGTTGAGTGCCTTTGGCACCCATTCTTTCAAAGTTTGCAAGTCGCCTAAGCTACGTGTTTAAAAACCAGCCAAATGTGGCATTGCAAGGTGTTTATAGGACCTTATTCTAAAGCCTCTTTGCTCTAGATTTCTGAAATAATTCTCAGAATAATCCCCAGATCAACAGCCTCCTACTAACCCTGTGATATTGCTCACCAATCCCTTCACAACTAGTTCTAATTTAATCATCATCATCATCATTTATCTATTTATCTGCAACAGGTGCAACACAGGGTAAACCCTGGAAAGGACGCCATTCCATTACAGGGCACATAGACACAAGCACACACACTCACACCAGGGTCAGTTTTCGCAGAAGCCAAGTAACCTGCATGTCTTTGGACTGTGAGAGGAAACTGGAGCACCCAGAGGAAATCCACATGAACAAGGGGAGAAGATACAAACTCCACACAGACCACTGAGTGTTGCATTTCTGTATGATATCAAAATAAATTATATTATGAAGCAACAGTGAAGCGGCAGCAGTGAGGAGGGGTGGTTAGGCAGCAGTGTGGAGAGATGGTGAGGCAGCAGTGAGGAGGGGTGGTGAGGCAGCAGTGTGGAGGGGTGGTGAGGCAGTGTGGAGGGATGGTGAGGCAGCAGTGTGGAGGGGTGATGAGGCAGCAGTGTGGGGGGGTGGTGAGGCAGCAGTGTGGAGAGATGGTGAGGCAGCAGTGTGGAGGG